ACACATTTTTATCCAAAATTTAAAACGGTCAGGGGTTAGCCTTGTATTTTTATCAAAAAGAGGCAAAAACACATTTTTATCCAAAATTTACAACGGTAAGGGGTTAGCCTTGCATTTTTATCAAAAAGAGGCAAAAACAGATTTTTATCCAAAAATTAAAACGGTAAGGGGTTAGCCTTGCATTTTTATCCAAAAGGGGCAAAAACACGCATTGATCCGAAATTTAAAACGGTAAGGGGTTAGCCTTGCATTTTTATCAAAAAGGGGCAAAAACTCATTTTTATCCAAAATTTTAAACGGTAAGGGGTTAGCCTTGTATTTTTATCCAAAAGGGGCAAAAACACGCTTTGATCCGAAATTTAAAACGGTAAGGGGTTAGCCTTGCATTTTTATCAAAAAGGGGCAAAAACACATTTTTATCCAAAATTTAAAACGGTAAGGGGTTAGCCTTGCATTTTTATCCCAAAAGAGGCAAAAACACATTTTTATCCAAAATTTACAACGGTAAGGGGTTAGCCTTGCATTTTTATCAAAAAGGGGCAAGAACACGTTTTTATCCAAAATTTAAAACGGTTAGGGTTAGCCTTGTAATTTTATCAAAAAGAGGCAAAAACACATTTTTATCCAAAATTTAAAACGGTCAGGGGTTAGCCTTGTATTTTTATCAAAAAGAGGCAAAAACACATTTTCATCCAAAATTTACAACGGTAAGGGGTTAGCCTTGCATTTTTATCAAAAAGAGGCAAAAACAGATTTTTATCCAAAAATTAAAACGGTAAGGGGTTAGCCTTGCATTTTTATCCAAAAGGGGCAAAAACACGCTTTGATCCGAAATTTAAAACGGTAAGGGGTTAGCCTTGCATTTTTATCAAAAAGGGGCAAAAACTCATTTTTATCCAAAATTTAAAACGGTAAGGGGTTAGCCTTGTATTTTTATCCAAAAGGGGCAAAAACACGCTTTGATCCGAAATTTAAAACGGTAAGGGGTTAGCCTTGCATTTTTATCAAAAAGGGGCAAAAACACATTTTTATCCAAAATTTAAAACGGTAAGGGGTTAGCCTGGTATTTTTATCCCAAAAGAGGCAAAAACACATTTTTATCAAAAATTTACAACGGTAAGGGGTAAGCCTTGAATTTTTATCAAAAAGAGGAAAAAACAGATTTTTATCCAAAAATTAAAACGGTAAGGGGTTAGCCTTGTATTTTTATCAAAAAGGGGCAAAAACACATTTTTATCCAAATTTTAAAACGGTAAGGGGTTAGCATTGCATTTTTATACAAAAGGGGCAAAAACACGCTTTGATCCGAAATTTAAAACGGTAAGGGGTAAGCCTTGTATTTTTATCCCAAAAGAGGAAAAAACACATTTTTATCCAAAATTTACAACGGTAAGGGGTTAGCCTTGCATTTTTATCAAAAAGAGGCAAAAACACATTTTTATCCAAAATTTACAACGGTAAGGGGTAAGCCTTGAATTTTTTTTCCAAACGGGGCAAAAACATGTTTTTATCCACAATTTAGAACGGTAAGGGGTTAGCCTTGCATTTTTATCAAAAAGGGGCAAGAACACGTTTTTATCCAAAATTTTAAATGGTTAGGGTTAGCCTTGTAATTTTATCAAAAAGAGGCAAAAACACATTTTTATCCAAAATTTAAAACGGTCAGGGGTTAGCCTTGTATTTTTATCAAAAAGAGGCAAAAACACATTTTTATCCAAAATTTACAACGGTAAGGGGTTAGCCTTGCATTTTTATCAAAAAGAGGCAAAAACAGATTTTTATCCAAAAATTAAAACGGTAAGGGGTTAGCCTTGCATTTTTATCCAAAAGGGGCAAAAACACGCTTTGATCCGAAATTTAAAACGGTAAGGGGTTAGCCTTGCATTTTTATCAAAAAGGGGCAAAAACTCATTTTTATCCAAAATTTAAAACGGTAAGGGGTTAGCCTTGTATTTTTATCCAAAAGGGGCAAAAACACGCTTTGATCCGAAATTTAAAACGGTAAGGGGTTAGCCTTGCATTTTTATCAAAAAGGGGCAAAAACACATTTTTATCCAAAATTTAAAACGGTAAGGGGTTAGCCTTGCATTTTTATCCCAAAAGAGGCAAAAACACATTTTTATCAAAAATTTACAACGGTAAGGGGTAAGCCTTGAATTTTTATCAAAAAGAGGAAAAAACAGATTTTTATCCAAAAATTAAAACGGTAAGGGGTTAGCCTTGTATTTTTATCAAAAAGGGGCAAAAACACATTTTTATCCAAAATTTAAAACGGTAAGGGGTTAGCATTGCATTTTTATACAAAAGGGGCAAAAACACGCTTTGATCCGAAATTTAAAACGGTAAGGGGTAAGCCTTGTATTTTTATCCCAAAAGAGGAAAAAACACATTTTTATCCAAAATTTACAACGGTAAGGGGTTAGCCTTGCATTTTTATCAAAAAATAAAACACATTTTTCATGTTTTCATCCAAAATTTACAACGGCAAGGGGTTAGCCTTTCATTTTTATCAAGAAGGGGCAAAAACAAATTGTAATCGAAAATTCAAAACAGTAAGGGGTTAGCCTTGCGTTTTTATCAAAATGGGGGAAAGTTACGTTTTTATCACAAATTCAACATGGTAAGATGTTAGCCTTGTAAATTTTTTCAAACCAGGGCAAAATTTTTTTTATCACAAATTCAAAGTGGTAGCAGGTTAGCCTTTCATTTTTATCAAAAAGGGACAAAAACAATTATTTATCACATATTCAAACTGGTTCGTAGTTAGCCTTGAATTTTTATCATAACTGGTCAAAAGTTAACTGTGTATCAGAAATTCAAAACGGTAACGGATTAGCCTTGCATTTTTATCAAAAAGGGGCAAAAACAAATTTTTATCATCAAAACGGTAATGGGCTAGCCTTACATTTTTGTCAAGAAGGGGCAAAAACAACCTTGTACCCCAAATGCAAAAAGGTAGTTTTTATCAAAAAATAGCACGAACGTAAAGTTTCATCAAAATTTCAATACGGTAAGGGGTTAGCCTTGCATTTTTATCAAAATGGGGAAAGTTAAGTTTTTATCACAAATTCAATACGATAAGGGATTAGCCTTTACTTTTTATCAAAACATGTTCAACTTATGCCTGTGCAAATCCTAAGGTACCGGTAAAAGTGGCGAACAAGACATTGTTTAGACTTACCACTTAGACGACCCGCATGATGTCAGACTTCTTTAGTGTATCGTTTCAAAATGAATGTGTGAATTTCAAGTTTGCATCGATACATTAGGTCTCGCATATGACCAAGAAAAATTACCGCAAATAAATGTTTAACTGGAAAATACAAGACTACCTAGTCGAGCCATAAGCCAAGCTGTTTACAAAATCAGTCACAAGTCATCACAAGTCAACCAAGAGTCAATCAGTCTCAAATCTATTCAACGTGACTGATCTGATAACCTCTCTGCCCAAAACAGCCAAGTCTGCTCTGCTCTCCGCAAATCTTGGGTGTCGGCAAGCTCACCTTGGCCCCCTCTCCAAGTCTCTTGTCCAGTTTTTCACACTCCTTGTTGACAATGTGATCAACCTCATTCTCATCAATCTGAATGGAAAAAAGAAACAAAAGTTTCATTTTAAACAACATTTTCTCTGTATCTCTGGTAACTGTGATTTTACAAAAGCCACAAATTTGTTTCCATGTGATACTTCAAATGCTTGGCACTGAAAGCTTAGTTCTTTATTTTTCTGCTCCTGTAGTATTGAATAGTTATCTTTGGTTCAAGTTAGGGCACATCTTAAAAGTAGAAATGCTCCAATTCCATAAGCTTCTTTTTGGAGCACTGTGTGTTCCCAATGTGGTCCCAACTGTGGCCTAATTACAGAAGTTTATTTCTGCACCAGGCGATTTTGACTTTGACTCAACCATGTGTCCCGTCCGAAATTTCAAGTTAGAATGATTTGCTCTTCTTTTGACATTGACCTTCAATACTTTAAAACATAAATCAAATGGCTTTTTGTGCTCGTTTTGTTTTGGCATGGTACAAAAACCTGGCTACACTTTTAAAACAATTTTGTAACAGAGACTCAACTTCTAAGTGGCATTTGAAAGGACCATGGCACATCTTGATTTTAGACGTAAATCCACTCATGAGCTAGTATATAACATTTGAGCAGATTCGCTGATTAATTATGCAAGACCTCTAGATTTTGACCAATCAGCGGGCACTTTCTATATCAGGCCTTCGGTCATTCACCCATTGTCGCATCATATACATCATTAAAAAACCTGCAGACACGACATGGGATACGCTGTGAATTGAGCACACAAAGGCTGTGGTCAGGCACTCTGTATTATGTTACGTGATACACCCCAAGCTTGTCTAGATTCTATAGATCAATGCCCGGCCGTTGTTTTAGTATAAAACACTGCATCGGAATCAACCAATCACACTTGTACATGTTGTCAAGATTTCGGAATGAAATGACGTCCTGATTTAGTAACGTTGACTCCAATTGGCTGGCTCATGGCACAGCACACATTTGCATTCCTAGACGTTTGACCGGAGTTAGGGCTAGAACGGGTGATACTCAGACTACTCATGAGCTGAACGTAATGCAAACTGGTGCAAATCTACAGCAGGTTTGCCTGTCTGAGACATGAGGATAAAATTACGACTGTTGGACAAAAACTCAGGTTTGAGCTGCCATCTATACTTTTAGTGTAAAATTTGTTTGGACAAACAAGGTCAATGATTGGTAATTATCTGCTCAATGGTAATTTCACCTTTGTGAAATGAAAATCAAGTTTGGCATACTGATTTTTTGGGATGGCTTGACTCTTGATCGCCAGTCGGAACCATGTGGATATAAATTGCCAAATAAACACAAGATGTGAGTAAACTTACTTGTTGAGTTCTCTGGGCATGTTTGCCCTTTCCAGCAACTGGCACAGCAACAGTTCCATGTTGCTAGACTCCAGCCCATCAAGCTTGACGTCGATACACAGCAGACTGTTCAAGATCTCCCTCCCTTCCAGAGCCTCAAACTCCGCCCCCTTCCCGAGCCCTCCCATGCCTACAACAAAGAGTAGCCGCCGAAGAAGCGTAAGTAAGCCCAGGAGTCATCATTGATGCATTGGACATCATGGATCGCTATCAGCGGGGCCGTTTTGGTGTCTAGTTGGGTGTCTTGGACGAAATGACTCAGGAGACGTTGGAGGATTTAGTGCACCCTGCTGGGGAGAGGCTTGCAACGGACTCATGAGAGAAAAGCTGGGGAGAACCAAGAAGGAACACTCGGTGTCAGGTGGCTTGGAATTTATGCTAGCAGTAACTCTGCATTTGGGTTTCTAATAAAGCAGTGTAACCCATTTCATCATAATTTTAAAAGAATCGATCTGGAGCAAACCATTACCTAGACATTCATGTAGGTACATTGTACAGACTGAAAAAGCCAATAACCTAAAATAAAATTGAGTACAATCAAATCATCTTTTACTGAATCAAATACAACTCTTCTGGAAAGCTGTTTTAACAGGTTTTTTAAAAATATTGTTATAGGCGTATAGGATCATTTGCATTTAATCAGATCAGACTGGTTTTTAAACGTTATACAAAATGTTCTTTTGCTGTAATTTTCAGATACCGTATAGAAGGATTCGGGGGTAAGTATTTAATAGCAAGTATTTTAACACTGACCTATTTAAAGTTTTGTGTTCATAGATGCTGGGAAAACCAAGAAAAAATGCTGTTCTTGTCTTGTAGTATGGTTTCCTCACCCTCACCCATAGGCGTCAGGGAATTGTACCGGTAGGGTCAGGGAACCAGACTAGCTGGCTTGCTCGCACTCACGGATATGTGTAACCGATTGCAAACAAAATGTGTACTAACTATAATTGGCAAATTGGGGGCAGTATTTTAAAACAGTCAGGTTTTTCCAACGATGGTCGGCCGACAATCATTAGAAATTGATACAAAAATTCCACTTTTCTTGAAAGTGACAGCACACCAGGTGCCATGATATCACAGGACACTTGAGACTATTATTCACTTAAATTTCAGAATTATTTAGTAATTTTGTTTTTTCGATGTTTTTCCAACGATCAGTCAATTGACTCATTTTTTGACTAAAGAGTTACAAAGACAACTAGAGGTCAAGGCGTTTGTTGAGTTACAAACGCAGAGTGGTCGGGCTGACAGCTATTTCATTAGACACAGCCCAGTTAAGTTATGAATAATTTTATGTCAGAACAAAGGATCACGAAAATGTAACCTTTCCAGTACAACCAATGATTTTGTTTAAAACAAAAATGTATCCGATTTCATTATACATTTTATGTACACGTACAAGCCTGTCTAGTTTGATGACGTCATCGGTCCGAAAAGGGAAAGTTTAATAATACTGATTAAGTTCGGAGAGGCGATGTTCATTATGAAGTTAAAATAACGTTTGCAAATATGGAAAATATAAGTGTATGTATTAGTAACACCTAACTTCCGGTTTGATGACGTCACAGCATTAAATATCCAAATGTCAACATTGTAACAGATATATCATTATTTGGGCTACGAACAAAGTCATAAGACAGGGATCAAAGTTAATGATAGAATTTAAAAAAAAAATTGATCATTTTCAAATTCTCCCCACAGTAACTTCCGGTATGATGACGTCATAATTTTCGAACCTTGCAAAGATATATGTACCGTAGTTGATACAAGGGGCGATTTGGTTAAATTTGGAAGGATGGTTTTTAAATTATAAAAAGAGAAAACCATATTTGATGTACATGTACCGCTAGAGGGGGCCCCTTCAAATGATGACGTCATAATGCTGTTTTTGTGTCCTTTATTCCGTTCGAAACACTTCCATAATTTATTTGCTTAAAGTAAAGAGCTTCCGCTTTCGAGTTATATTCAATTTTTATTGCACTTCCGGTAACACCGGAAGTGATGGTCAAGCGGTTTTGTGCCCGGGAATAAGAATTGTTGCCCGAAGCATCATTTACAACCTCACGCAAAGACAAACACGATATTCTATTTTGTTCTAAAGATATAGCTGAAACTATTTTCACAAATTTGGCCCATAAATTGCTTGTAATTTGATATCTGCGGACGGGGGTTCAAGTTCATACCAGGTTTTATCATAATCCCATATCGTTTGGAAGAAATTCGGTTCGTTTTGATATTGAAGCTTCTGTCTGTATTCTAAATTCACATTGACCTTGCGGTTGACCGGAAAGTAAAGGTCAAACGTGTTCACGTACACAAAAAGAAATGTTCATCAATTAAATGGTCTATCTGATTACCAGGTTGGAATATGATTGATCATTTTGTTCAAGAGTTATAGCTGAAAGAAGATCCTCGTTTTTTCAACTAAAATCGCTTGTAATTTGACACCCGATGACGTCATCATGACGTCAGAGTAATATGCACCACTTGGGATGAGGGTCGTTATATATATTCAAAGTTACAAGTTCATATAATAAACCGTTTAGGAGAAAACCTGAGGAGAAGTATTGTCCAGAAAAAAGAGAAAGAAAGAAAGAAAGAAAGGAAGAAAGAAAGATTAATCGTAACAACTCCAAAGAGTGGTCGGGTTGTGCCCAACCACTCAAAAATTCCATTCATGATCAAAAGGTTATGCACTTTTTTTTTTAAAATGTTTTCTCGAAAAAAAAATAGCATCCACTGAGCTGAAACTTCAACAGGTTAGGCATTCAACAGTCTTCTTTTGATTTTGAGTGGTATTATTATTGGAAACAAACAAAATTCATGAACATCAAATGATTCTATACGCCTTTTAAAATAAAGATCTTCCCTTTTTTTACAATGACCGTTTTATTTTCAAAACGGACTTTCCTTGGTGATATTATGCCCATTTCAAGTTTGTAAATTTAACAGAGATATAGCTTGTTAAATTTTTCGGTTATGCATTCTTGAACTGATATACAAATGGAATCACTTACTGTCTCGCATTCCCTTGATGATCAACAGGTCATCAGCTTGCCGTAAGGGACGTCAATGACTTCATCAACCCTCAGTCGCTGGACGATGACACGGTCCACCTCGGGGCTGGTCAGATCCTCACAATTCCAGTGAACATTGGCAGAAAAATCATCATCGTCTATGGGAAAAGGATAAGGTGTATTTCCATAGGCACATGAGCATATGTCGGCTTTAGCCAAGTTACTAAGACAAACATTGTGCAAGAGAACGAGTCACAAGCAAGATAAATCACATGGAAATGAAGCTGTAACCGGCGTCTGCGCAACAATGAACAAATTCTATTCTTTGCAGTGTTGTAACGAGACACAGAATGTTTGACTTGAGTCAAGTTGAGTCATTTTAAGGAAGTGACTTGAGTCAAATCCAGCTGAGTGGAGTAACAGTGTCTGGTTGAGTCAAGTCAAGTAGAATGTGTGCTCAAGTCCATTCAAGTCACTGATATTTGAACACCATCGAATAAATTACAGAATGGAAGAAGGAACACAAGGCACCAGTCTGTTATACAGATCCAAAGATTTTTAAAATACTGCATGGTACCCAATAGACAGTTTCTGCTGGACGTTTCTACCAAAGATCTGCGTACCAGTTAACAAGAAGTGAAACTTCAGTTTTATCTCTCGAAGCCGAAGATGAAACCAAGAATTGAGTAAACTCTGGTTCATTATAATACACGAGTTGGGAGTCTGTGATAAGGCATATATTTGTACGCGATAAACGGCCACAACTTGACGGTAATACGAATATAAAACTTTGTACTGCTCACAGAGTTTTAGGACTCAAGTGTTATTAGCCTTCGACTAAAGAAGAGTTGAGTCTTCTGATGAGAGACTCGAGTCCAGTTGAGCCAACCCATTGGGACCTGAGTCAAGTCAATTTAAATCACTGACTCAAGTCATTACAACTCTGCTGCTTTATCAAATTTACTTGTGATTTCCCAATTCCAATCTTAAATACCGGTACTTGATTACTGGAGTACATGTATGCATGGTATGTAGCGTCATTTTGACAGCCAAGAAGTTGTGTTTCCTTTCTTTTAAATCTGGAAAAAAATACCATGTTCAGGAAAGGACATTTTGAAAAAACGTTTAACGGACAAATCAATGTCTCACTCAAAACGGCATAACAAAAAAAACCAAGTTGGCCAATCCTAACGAAATCTGGTGTACGGATTTTTGGGACATACTTCATACTCCAAATCTTGTGCTTTAGCACCCTGGTGAGCTTATAATTTGAGAACCATAATGCGTAGAACTGCGCAATTTTTTTTGGAGACTGCTACAACATTAAGGTCCTTGTGACAAACACCAGCAAATTCCAACAAAGTCTTCCTACATGTATGAAGTACATGTAAAGCATCGATTACCTATTTTTGCATTTTGCAACCTTTTCCGTGAAACTGCCCTTTTATAGATCTATGCCCGGCCCTTGTTGTAGTATAAAACACTGCATCCGAATGGACCAATCAAACTTGTAAATGTCAGTGTTGTAGTCGAGACCGGATAGTCCGAGACCGAGACCAAGACCGAGACCTGAAGATTCGAGACCGAGAGCCCCTTCAAGGCGGACCGAGACCGAGACCAATATGGTCCGAGACCGAGACCGAGACCGCTGATAATAAATAACAATTGTCGAAATAAAAAAAAACAAGACACGTTATTATAGTTGAAAGTTGTAACCTTTCTATTCACAAAGATTACAGACCAAAATTTTGACCAGTGGCAGTGTTGACAAATTGATACATGACACCTTACTTGAGCAAAAGTAGTTACACTTAAGAAATATGGGCTTTGACATGTTGTCTGCACCCAATCGTGACAAAAGTAAAAAGTTAAAGGTAGATGTTTCATCTGTTATAGGAATTCGGATCCTAAACTCCACAGTCACCCCTTGGTTTCAGCTTTTTCAGGTTTCTAACGGATATTTAAAGATGCAATTTTAATTTTACATTGTGCCTCTTTTTTCCTAAAATAAATATAGGACTTAACTTCTAACAAGACTTGTGTACTTGATTTTAAAAAATGGGAGCTAGAAAATGTTGAACTAATTTTAAAATTTCTGTCATAGAATGTGGACTTGTACATGTAGACACACAAGTTGTGAGGTGGTAGCCAGAATGTGCCAGATATGGATTTTTAATTTTTTTCTGAACGGGATTTTAATTTTTGAGAAATAATGGGGTACTTCAAAATGAGCAGCCAGAAAATGGGGTCTCATCATAAACTCTCATGGCAACAGTGAGTGGTAACTGGTAAGAGTGTGTGAAAATTTACTTTTTCTTCAAAATACTGTCCCAAATTAAAGAGAACATTGTGTGGGGTTGAAAATATCACTAATTTGAAGCACCTCATTTATTATCAGAATACAAAATGCAAGTGATTACGCCCACAGGGGTGGGCTAAACTACAAAATCCCCGAAAATGGTTGACCCTTATTGCATAAATTGTTACAAGTTTATTCTTTGCTTTCAGGATGTGCCCGTCTCAACAGATAAATGCCGAAGTTGTTCCAAATCGTTCAGTGACTGGTACTGCTGCAGCTTTACATGTACTTTGGGGACTTTCCAACGTGCAGTTGAGTCCAAACCGACCACGATATATAACAAGCTTGATCTACGGGCTAGCAAAGTTTTTAACCATCAACGGTACTGAACGAAGTGAACAAAAAGTAATCGATCGAGCTGTAAAAGCTACATATTGCCGGTCTCGACCCGAGACCAGCCAAAATATCGAGACCAAAGGGGACCGAGACCGAGACCAAGACCGAGACCACAGCTTCCGAGACCGAGACCGAGACCGAGACCAGCAAAAAGTGGTCTCGAGACCGGTCTCGAGACCTACAACACTGGTAAATGTAGTCATGATTTCTGAATGAAATGAAGTCACGATTTAGTAACTTTGACTCTGATTGGCTGGCTCACGGCATAGCACACATTTGCATTCCTAGACGTTTGACCGGAGTTAGGTCTCGAACGGGTGATACTCAGACTACTCATGAGCTGAACCTAATGCAAACTGGTGCAAATCTACAGCAGGTTTGCCTGTCTGAGACATGAGGATAAAATTACGACTGTTGGACAAAAACCTCAGTTTTGAGCCACCATCTACACTTTTAGTGTAAAATTTGTTTGGACAAACATGGCCAATGATTGGTAATTATCTGCTCAATGGTAATTTCACCTTTGTGAAATGAAAATCAAGTTTGGCTTACTGATCTGTTGGGTTGGCTTGACTCTTGATCGCCAGTCGGAACCATGTGGATATAAATTGCCAAATAAACTAAGTAAACTTACTTGTTGAGTTCCCTGGGCATGCTTGCCCTTTCCAGCAACTGGCACAGCAACGGTTCCATGTTGCTAGACTCCAGCCCATCAAGCTTGACGTCGATGCACAGTGGACTGTTCAAGATCTCCCTCCCCTTGACAACCTCAAACTCCGCCCCCTTCCCGAGCCCTCCCATGCCTAGAACAAAGAGTAGCCGCCGAAGAAGCGTAAGTAAGCACAGGAGTCATCATTGATGCATTGGACATCATCAATCGCTATCAGCGGGGCCGTTTTGGTATCTAGTTGGGCGTCTTGGACGAAACGACTCAGGAGACGTTGGAGGATTTAGTGCGCCCTGCTGGGGAGAGGCTTGCGACGGACTCATGAGAGAAAAGCTGGGGAGAACCAAGAAGGAACACTCGGTGTCAGGTGGCTTGGAATTTATGCTAGCAGTAGCTCTGCATTTAGGTTTCAAACAAGGTGGTTTAACTTATTTCATAGGGGAATAAATGTGTGTTCGGGGGGTATTATAACACTCTGTTTAAGACCGGTGGGAGTCTGGATGGGTGATTATCACCCAATTATCACTCCCACTGGTCTTACATGTAAACAGAGTGTTTAATACCAACCGAACACATATTTTTTCCCATTCATAAATACCTTTTCGGTAAAAAAAAACCAAATCTTTTTGGTCCAAGATTCAAAACAAGTCAAAACCTAGATGTTGCCAACCATTTTGTTCAACAATTTTATTTCATGTTTTACGAAACACCCCTCTGATATATAATATGGAATGACCCTCCACAACATAAGAACATTGGCGTGTGTGTCGCGCGTACTGCGCGATGTCGCGCAAAACGCAGCTGGGCTGGTGTAGAGTGAATTTCGGACTGCGAACATGGTGAAATACTGATTCACTGATAGAATTGTGCATGCATGCGTAAGGAATGTGAACGTTCAACCAATGAAATGTTAAAAGGCACCGGATTTCATGCGAGTCCAAATTTCATGTGACACTGGAAAAGTGTTTAAGACCAGCCAGCCGTGTCTTTATCATCCGTTTAAGACCGGCCACGTTACGGGCTCTCGACCAATAGGAATACGTAAACTGTCTTAGGTATTTATGAATAATGATATAAAGAGAATCGATCTAGAGCAAAACATTACCTAGACCATGTACATGTAGACATGGGTACAGAGGAAGCTTGGGAGGGTATTGCATTTTACTATTCCGCGGTGTCCAATGACAACAAACCGCGATATTCACTAAAACCGCGATATTTTAACTGGGGTATATTATCAGGAAAAGGCATCATTATTTTCCTGTACGGCTCGCTCGGCATCGTATGATTCAGGCGAGTCTGGATTTGTTTTTTTGCACGTTGGTGCCGACGCTGCTAGATTGTACAAGGGTATTACCGAGGCCTACAATGAGAAATGACTTTGATGTTGTGCTTTTTTTAAATATTTTTTCTTAATTTCCCCGGACGGCGCGACATCGTATGATTTCAGGCAAGTCCGTTCCCTTCGTACGTGCACCTTGAACACAGCATGGAATCTTGCTCCATGACTGAAGCCTGGGTAAGTTTTGGCAGTCATAACTAACTAACTAAGATTGATGCGATTTTTCCTGTTGCTGATAATCTTGGGAACTATGTTTTGGCAAAAATTACTCATAAATGATGATGTACAATTCAAAGAAAACCGCAAACACGGCAGCGTTAGCAGCTGGGTTGCAGCTGCTGAAGTACAAAGTATCAGGTTATCAAGTCCGTCTTATCTGTCAACGGTAATTGACAATGCATACATTCTGGACACTAAGGAAGAATACCGCGGTATTCAAATTCCATACTGAGTTCACCGGTGTTTCAGTATTCATGAATCATTAGTTGGTATTGATCGGTATTAAAAAAAAAATGTGACTATCCGGTAAAACCGAAATACCGTCCAAGCCTACAAAAAGCCAATAACCTTAAATTAAATTGAGTACAATCAAATCATCTTTTACTGAATCAAATACAACTCTTCTGGAAAGCTGTTTTAACAGGTTTTAAAAAAATATATTGTGTAAGGCGTAGGGCCTATAGGATCATTTGCATTTAATCAGATCAGACTGGTTTTGAAACGTAATATGTATGTATGCTACATTTGCTTTTGCTGTAATTTTCAGAAATGAATGGATTCGGGGGTAAGTATTTTATAGCAAGTATTTTTACACTGGCCTATTTAAAGTTTTGTGTTCATAGATGCTGGGAAAACCAAGTAGTCTGGTTTCCTGACCCTACTTCCGACGAAACGGAGCAATTTACGTCTGGGAATTGTAGGGTCAGGGAACCAGACAAGCCGGTTTGTTCCCACTCACAGATGTGTAAACCAATTGCAAACAATTGTGTACTAACTATAGTTGGCAAATTGGGGGCAGTATTTGAAAACAGTCAGGTTTTTTCAACGATGGTCGGCCGACAATCATTGGAAATTGATACAAAAATTCCACTTTTCTGGAAAATGACAGCACACCAGGTGCCATGATTTCACAGGATACTTGACTTAAATTTCATAATAACTTAGTGATTTTGCTTTTTGATGTTTGCAATATTAACTTTTACACCCCATGAAATGATTCAGTCTGGATTGCTGTCATTTAGAAAACCGAGAAACACATTGTATTTCCAACGATCAGTCAATTGACTCATTTTTTGAATAAAGAGTTACAAAGACAAAAATTATGTTTCATGATCAAAAGGTTGTGCATCTTTTTTTTTTGAACTTTTTTTCTCGGAAAAAAAAATTAACATCCACTGAGCTGAAACTCCAACAGGTTAGCCATTCAACATTCTTCTTTTAATTTTGAATGGTGTTATTATTGAAATCGAACAAAAGTCATGAATATCAAATGATCCTATACGCCTTTTAAAATAAAGATCTTCCCTTTCTTTACAATGACCTTTTTATTTTCTAAACAGACTTTCCTAGGTGATATTATGCCCATTTGAAGTTTGTAAATTTAACAGAGATACAGCTTGTTAAATTTTTTCGGTTATGCATTCTTGAACTGCTACACAAATGAACTCACTTACTGTCTCGCATTCCCTTGATGATCAACAGGTCATCAGCTTGCCGTAAGGGACGTCAATGACTTCATCAACCCTCAGTCGCTGGACGATGACACGGTCCACCTCGGGGCTGGTCAGATCCTCACAATTCCAGTGAACATTGGCAGAAAAATCATCATCTATGGGAAAAGGATTTACATGTAAGGTGTATTCCCATAGGCACATGAGCATATGTCGGCTCTAGCCAAGTTACTAAGACAAACATTGTGCAAGAGAACTAGTTAAAAGCAAGATAAATCACATGGAAATGAAGCTGGAAACCGGCCTCTGCTTAACAATGATCAAATTCTATTCTTTGCAGCGTCGTAACGACACACTGAATGTTGTGACTTGAGTCAAGTTGAGTCATTTTAAGGAAGTCAAATCCAGTCGAGTGGAGTAACAGTGTGTGGTCGAGTCGAGTCAAGTAGAATCTGTGCTCTAGTCAATTCGAGTCACTGATATTCGAACACCATCTAATAAATTACAGAATGGAAGAAGGAACACAAGGCACCAGTTTATTATGAAGATCCAAAGACTTTAAAAATGCTGCATGGTACCCAATAGACAGTTTCTGCTGGATGTTTCTACCAAAGATCTGCGTACCAGTTAACAAGAAGTGAAACTTCAGTTTTATCTCTCGAAGCCGAAGATGAAACCAAGAATTGGGAAAACTCTGGTTCATTATATTTATAATACACGAGTTGGAAGTCCGTGATACGGCATATATTTGTACGCGATAAACGGCCACAACTTGACGGTAATACGAATATAAAACTTTGTACTGCTCACAGAGTTTTAGGACTCAAGTGTTATTAGCCTTCGACTAAAGAAGAGTTGAGTCTTCTGATGAGAGACTCGGGTCCAGTTGAGCCAACCCATTGAGACTTGAGTCAAGTCAATTTAAATCACTGACTCGAGTCATTACAACTCTGCTGCTTTATCAAATTTACTTGTGATTTCCCAATTCCAATCTTTTTATACTTGATTACTGGAGTACATGTACATGTATGTAGCGTCATTTTGACAGGCAATAAGTTGTGTTTCCTTTCTTTTAAATCTGGAAAAAAATACCATGTTCGGGAAAGGACATTTTGAAAAAACGTTTAACGGACAAATCAATGTCTCACTCAAAACGGCATAACAAAAAAAACCTAAGTTGGCCAATCCTAATGAAATCTGGTGTACGGATTTTTGGGACATACAGTAGTTCATACTCCAAATCTTGTGCTTTAGCACCCTTGTGAGCTTATAATTTGAGAACCATAATAAGTACATGTAGAACTGCGCAATTTTTTTTGGAGACTGCTACAACATTAAGGTCGTTGTGAGACAAAAACCAGCAAATTCCAACAAAGTCTTCCTACGGTATGAAGTAAAGCATCGATTACCTATTTTTCATTTTGCAACCTTTCCCGTGAAACTGCCCTTTTATAGATTTACCGTATGCCCGGCACTTGTTGTAGTATAAAACACTGCATCCGAATGTAAATGTAGTCAAGATTTCGGAATGAAATGACGCCACGATTTAGCAATGTTGACTCTGATTGGCTGGCTCACGGCATAGCACAAATTTGCATTCCGAGACGTATGACCAGAGTTAGGGCTAGAACGGGCGACACTCGGACTACGGTACTCATGAGCTGAACCTAATGCAAACTGGTGCAAATCTACAGCAGGTTTGCCTGTCTGAGACATGAGGATAAAATTACGACTGTTGGACAAAAACTTGATTTTGAGCCGCCATCTACACTTTTAGTGTAAAATTTGTTTGGACAAACATGGTAAGTGATTGGTAATTATCAGGCTTCAACCTTAGCGGTGATCCGCTGGCCAAATGGCAGTTGAATTGCCAAGTGGTCCGGCTGGCCAGCCGAAAAAATCTGCGTCAAAAAAATGCTTGTTGTATTTATTTGGTTTCTTACTTACATTCGCTATTTTTTTCAAAAGAAACCTCCGTTATTTTTACAAATTCGCTTCGCGATATAACTACTTCGCAACTCGATGTCACGGTGACTATAATCATGTGCGTAAATCCAGCCCAATGCGGCGATGACTGGTTCCCGCCAAGCCAATTTAGAAGACATCATGATGAAAATGCGGTAACTAGTCTGTGCACGGCTACCAGTATGCGAGCGATAGCGCTAGCATGGCTATGCATTGTGCAGGCGCCAGGCACGTGCTCTGTCAACTGGTCGGATTCGACATCGTAAAAATGCCAAGAAAACACCGATGGAGAAAGAACATTTTTGCAAGTTAATTTACAGAATTGATCTAGCTTGTCTGTGTATGTATTTTCTGTGTTCAAGAGTTCATTTTGAGATCGCACTACTCGTATTTGGAGTGATACATGCCGTGTGTTTCCCGAAATTTTTGACCGTAAAAACGGGTCTGTCGGCCCATGTGACATGGGCTCAGGTGACATGATGACATGGGTGTTGATGACTATAGTCTTGTTATGACTTATGTGAAACTGATTAACTGGTGGGTACACGCTGTATAAGACGGCCCAGTCAAAAACCTGGCGGACCAGTCAAAATTCTAGCCAACTGGTCCGGCTGGCCAGTCAAAAAAAAGTTAAGGGCAACCCCTGATTATCTGTTCAATGGTACAAATGTACTTTCATCTTTATGAAATGAAAATCTAGTTTAGCTTACTGATTTTTTGGGATGGCTTGACTCTTGATCGCCAGTCTGAACCATGTGGATATAAATTGCCAAATAAACACAAGATGTGAGTAAACTTACTTGTTGCGTTCCCTGGGCATGCTTGCCCTTTCCAGCAACTGGCACAGCAACGGTTCCATGTTGCTAGACTCCAGCCCATCAAGCTTGACGTCGATACACAGCAGACTGTTCAAGATCTCCCTCCCCTTGACAACCTCAAACTCCGCCCCCTTCCTGAGCCCTCCCATGCCGAGAACAAAGAGTAGCCGCCGAAGAAGCGTAAGTAAGCACAGGAGTCATCATTGATGCATTGGACATCATCAATCGCTATCAGCGGGGCCGTTTTGGTATCTAGTTGGGTGTCTTGGACAAAACAACTCAGGAGACGTTGGAGGATTTAGTGCGCCCCGCTGGGGAGAGGCTTGCGACGGACTCATGAGAGAAAAGCTGGGGAGAACCAAGAAGGAACACTCGGTGTCAGGTGGCTTGAAATTTATGCTAGCAGTAACTCTGCATTTAGGCTTCTTACAAGGCGGCTTAACTTATTTCATAATGACTTAAAGAGAATCGATCAAGAGCAAAACATTACCTAGATATGGATACAGAGTAGGTTTGGGACGGTATTGCATTTTACTCTACCGCGGTGTCCAGTGACAAAAAATCGCGGTATTCACTAAAACCGCGGTATTATGTTAATTGGGGTTACGTCATTATCAGGAATAAAAACCTACTAACCACCAGGCACCACGAAGCCGCGGGCGCGGCGTAAATCATGCAAATGCTTTGTGCCGCAAATCTCCAACACTAAAGTGTCCTGGTTTCATCATCAGTCAATTTGTTTGTAAAAATATATCATTGTGGCAGATTATTAAAAACGAAAAGCTTACTTTTTGTCCTATTATTTTGTTCGAATGTAGCAAGGCCTACCGGTACTAAAAATATCGATGCCTGACCACACACAATGATACCCCTTCTTAAAACGAATGCTTTTAGGTTGGTATCCATTGTGAGTGATTCAATATTAAAAGCTCATGCAATTTATGCCGAACACCAGCGAATCCTCACGTGCTTTGCTGGTGTCATGTGAAAATCGCACTCCTATAAAAAATAATCGCACTCCTCCTCACGTGATCTGTCATTCTAATCCAGTTCGTTAGTGTGACGTCACTTCAGGTTAAACCACGCTCACTGACCATTAAGTAGCACCATTGGAACCGGAGGTTAACGCAACTAATGAGTATTTATCCAGAGAACGCTGGTAATCAGTGTAGCGTGCGCATGTATGAGTTTTTACTAATGAACCGGATAATCATCATCTAATGTTAGGCATGCGCAATTGTGAAGGCCGTAATATGAAGTTGTCGGTGCCGACCTTCATAACCAACGGACCAATCATACCAAAACATGAATGGAAAATATGCTTTCTTTGGAGTATTTTCTTTCCTCAATTTTCATCTGGACGGCTCGGCATTGTACGATTCAGGCGAGTCCTTTCCCATTGCACATCACCGTCGGTACTGGCCTTAATAACCAACGAACCAACTTTTACACCCCATGAAATGATTCCGTCTGTCTTGCTGTCATTTAGAAAACCGAGTAATGTAGGGGATTTCCAACGATCAGTCAATCGACTCATTTTTGAAGAAAGAGTTACAAAGACACAAATTATGTTTCATGATCAAAAGGTTGAGCACTATTTATTTTTTTTTACTGTTTTTTCGGGGAAAAATGATATCACTGAGCTGAAACTTCAACAGGTTAGCCATCCAACATTCTTCTTTTGATTTCGAATGGTGTTATTATTGGAAACAAACAACATTCATGAACATCAAATGATCCTATACGCCTTTTAAAACAAAGATCTTCCCTTTTTTACAATGACCGTTTTATTTTCAAAACAGACTTTCCTTGGTGGCATTATGCCCATTTGAAGTTTGTGTTGTCACAATGGGCAAACAGAGATACGTCCTGTTCATTTTCTGGATAATGCATTTTGAACTGACACACCCTCTACAATTCATTAAAAAAAAAATCACCTTACACTTTAAGTGTATATTTAAGACATCTTTGTTATGACAACTCTGCAACAGATCTGAAAACAGACCAAAATTGCCCACACGTTATCATTTCTGGTTGTGTTTCAATTTCAAGCTCTGCCAATTTGCGTCTGTTTGTTGTTAAGGATGACTCACAAATGGAATCACTTACTGTCTCGCATTCCCTTGATGATCAACAGGTCATCAGCTTGCTGTAAGGGACGTCAATGACTTCATCAACCCTCAGTCGCTGGACGATGACACGGTCCACCTCGGGGCTGGTCAGATCCTCACAATTCCTGTGAACATTGGCAGAAAAATCATCATCTATGGGAAAAGGATAAGGCGTATCAACATGTGTATTCTGATTATAAAGATGTAAAAAGGAAACCCAAATGTAAATGTAAATTATAAAAAATCTAATAAATATTTTCAAATAAAAAGATCATGTGAAACGCCAATGTGTCCTCTTTCCAAGAATACATTGATTGTGTCTGTGGCCGCGGATGACTGAGCATTCGTTGTTATTCTGTCAAGAGTCAAAACCTGCACTGGGCCAAGTTTGTGCAAAAGGGTTACTGGTATTCTGGGCATGTGGAACGGCTTAATTCAAGGAAAGAAGACATCCTTTTCTTTAAAACAATGTATTCAATTTTGACACAATGATTTAACTTCTGTTATTGTTGAAGTTAACCCCTCATAGCCCAATGCCTTCAACGTGGCCACCACCTCTATCCACACAAAGCCTTGCACGAAGTGTAGTCCAAATGTTTCAACCTTTGCATAACAAACCAGCTACCAATCTTAGCCAGGTAAAACTTGGCTCAGAACAGGTTTTGACCCGTTGACAGAATAACAACGAATGCTCAGTCATCCGTGCCCACAGATAAACAATCAAGATATCATTGGAAAGAAGATACTTTGGGTGTTTCACATGATACATTAACTTGTTTGAAAATTTATTAGAGTTTTTATAATTTACATTTTCATCTGGGTTTCCTTTTTCTGATACAAGCTGTAGGGCCTATAGAAAAAAAAATTAAAAAATTGAAAACATAAATTTAGATGGAGTTTCATCAACGGCTTAGGAAATCACCCGAAGCCGAAGACGAAACCAAGAATTGGGAAAAATCTGGTTCCGGGATAGTAATTTGTGTGCTACATTATAATACTCGAGTTGGGAGTCCGTGATAAGGCGTATATTTGTGCGCAATAAATGGCCACAACTTGACGGTAATTTGTTTTATCACTACAAGATGAAATGCATTATTCTGCACAGACACACACTGTTGATCAGTCACGTAATTTTCTTCAATCAGCTGGTTGTTGCCATGGGGTATGTGTGCGCGGTAAACAGTGGGCTACTCGAATGGGCGCTGCCGGGGAACACCTGGCTGCCCCAATTAATTGCCAATGTGACATATTGAGGCCAGAGAAATTGTTCATATCGCTAAAATGATATGGACTGCCCAAAGGGGCAAAAGAAACCATTGATACAGTGTATTAAGTCAAGTTCATTAATTAGGCCAAGAAAGTTAACTTCGGCTTAGCTTTTTGAAGCCGCTATACATGGAAAATATTTTCTCCCAACAAATGTAATTTCCAATATTTCCAAACATAAAACTTCTACAAGAAAATCAAAGTTTTATTACCATTTTTAACAGTGTCATTCTGTTATGGGATGATATTGATTGGAGCGAGTCACAGACATTTCAGGACCAACTCTTGACTTTTAGAGTGCGATACAGCTAGTATAAGTTGGAATTTAACCCATTCCGTCTGGTTGGGTTCTTCGTCTTCCCTGAGATGATACGCCCTTAACGATACAAGAAACAGGCCCGGAGGTCACCTCCCCCGTATGTCAGTGGTCGTCGCCGCGGGCCTGGACGTCCCCGCACTTTAGTGACGGTCGATTCTGCGACCAACGATGAGAGCACCGCGGTGATCAGCGCCACGGCCCCGGTCGGCGCGCCGCCGTCCACAACCGCTACAGTAAGCGGTCAGTCAGCGGAGGATCAGCCTGCGCTCGCCTCACACCCAGCGCCAAACCAGATTGTCTCGGCGGCGGGTTTCAGCGGAGGTCCTAACACTACCGGAGCAAGCGTGGATATGGGTGGTGAGTCAAGCTCAAGAGCTACATGTAGGCCTATATTACAAGCGGACTGCAACCTAATCCCCTGGACTCTTTGGTTACCAATAATAGTAATTTAAGTGTGGGCCTAGGTTTTAATCCAGTCAATTCCAGTAGGGCTAATGCTAGTAGTAGTGGTATAATCAGTAACGTTGGCGGTATGACCGGTAATATTGTAATCGGTAACTCAATTGCACCTGCAATTCCAGTCCCTCCGATCGGTAACAATAACGTAGCAATAGGCCTATTAGGCAAAATCAATTTGACCAAGCCGGTACTAGTTTTCCTTTAGGGGGCCTACAGGTATCTGCTTATTCGGGCAAGATGGGTCGACCCGCGCCACTGCACTCTTTTGGGAATGATGCCCCTATTGATGTCCACGTCCCTCCATCCATAAAAGAGAAGATTTGGAACGGACAGTACGTTGATTTAGCTTCGTTATATCGCGACAATGCCACTAGGGTACTGACTTCCACGGAGAGTGAATCTGAATTAATCATGGCAGTCGAACAAGGCAAGGTGGTTTTTCGTCCGGTGACACCGCACCCCCGTAAAGTAGATTCAATCGATAAGTGGTCAAGCGCTTTCATGTGTTTATGGCGATTTATACTACGCGTCATCCGGGGCATTTCCTTGAGTTACTCAAGTATGCAGAAATTGTTCGTACCGCAGCTGTACAGTTCCCCGGTCTTGGCTGGTGCAATTACGATGAACAATTCCGCTTGCGCATGGAGGCGAACTCGAAATCGATTTGGGCCGCATTGCGGGACCTTTTGTTCATCGCCCCTTTCCGAATCTCCAATGTTCTTGTCCCTAAGCATCAGCACGGCTCTTTTCCCCTCATCCACCATTTGTCATATCCCCTGGGGGATTCAGTTAACGACTTTATCGATAAAGATATGTATAATTTCAACTTCCTGGTTATGATTATGAATGACAGTTTTCTGGTTATGAATGAGAGACCGAGCAGCCCATGGGTAAGCATTTATCATAGTCAAACTTATTCTGAAACTGAAAACCCAAAAGTTCGTAGTCAGAAGGAGAGAAGGGAAGAAGCTGAAACGCAGATCTGATGTCTGTTTTTGCTAACCAAGCATGGGGGCTACTGACATAGCTATTTCTATGGCTGCATCTTCCCGTCTCTCCTTCTGACTACGAACTTTTGGGTTTTCAGTTTCAGAATAAGTTTTACTATGATAAATGCTTACCCATGGGCTGCTCGGTCTCTCATTCATTACCAGAAAACTGTCATTCATAACCAGGACATGCAGGAAGTTGAAATTGTATCTGAATATAAATACCTTGGAACCATATTTGATGACAAGCTTAGATGGGATGAAAACACATGTGCTACTGTCAAGAAATGCCAACAACGCTTATACTTTTTATGTAAATTGAAGACCTTCTCTGTTGATAAAACGATTCTGAGTCTTTTTTATCGGTCATTCATTGAAAGTGTACCGTGCTTTTACATTCATTTCCTGGTATTTTAACCTAAGTGCTAAGAATAGAAACAGTTTGCAAAAGATTGTTAACCTTGGGTCCAAAATTACCGGAGAGCCCCAGAGAGATCTTAGTCAGTTTTGCGAACAACAAGTACTAAGAAAAGCCAAGTCGATCGTAGCCAGTGAAAATCATGTGTTGAAAACCATGTTCGAGTTTCTTCCATCGGGATGCCGTCTAGGATGCCCTCCATGTAAAACCAACAGAAGGAAGTTCTCATTCATCCCAGTGGCTATTAAACTTATAAACAACTGATAATTATTTGTGTGTTTTTATGTTCATCATTTTATTTGTCATTTTTATATGCAACCATTAATCAGGGGGTATCAGTATCAGTATCATTATCATTAATCGAGCTGTCATTACTCCAGTGGCTGTTGTCAATAGGTCCATCAGGTCCATCATTTTAAATTGGACATTTTTTAAGTAAACGTTTTTGTTTTCATCATGTGTACATTACTCATCTAAAGATACTATTTTTTAGATAAGATAAGATTTTACACCAATTTTAATTGAGATAAGGACATGTTGTTTGTGATTGATGTATTTATATTTACTTGACTTGTAATTTACTAAGTGTCTTTAATGAGCTGTCCAACCATATGTAATTGCCTTTTTAAGGATAAATAAAGTATTTTGAATTGAATTGAATTGAATTGTGCGCTCTTTGACATCTTTAGCACCTTTTTGGAATTTCATATCAAACGAATTTAAGCAGCAGACACTATAACGCATTACCTACAGTGATGATGATTTTTTGTTCATTGGCCCATCAAAGGAGCGCTGTGAAGAACTTCTTAATACCTTTAACCCTAACCCCCTAGGCTCTTGCACTAGAAAGGATACCAAACCTAACAAATTTCAACAGCTGCATACAGGTCTGTAAGCACTGGTACCAAAACTGCCAAACTCCAACAGGCCTTGTACGGGGAACAGTACTAAACCTGCCAAACTCCAACTGTTGGAGTATGATTGACTTGGTATGGATGGGCCTATGCATTGTCGAGTGATTGGATAGGGATGGTACCAAACCTAACAAAATAAAGCAATATATTTGACCAGGAACTGTACTGGGGACCGTGGGTGAGCGTACCCACGAAGAAATGCCTGTGAACTCCCATGTACATGCACATTTGACCACAAAGTGTTGCGGAGGACCGTGGGTGAGCATACCCACGAAGAAATGCCAGTGAACTCCCTCAAACTCCAACGTGTTCACAAATCTCATGCCCTTCTGCCCCGAACCTCACAAAATTCAACAGGGTCTCCCTGGGCCTTTGGTACCCAGTCAATCAAAGTCCAACACCAGCTGGCCAGTGTTCGGTACCAACCCTGCCAAAATCAAGCAAAACCCGCTGTTGGAGCTTGATGGGCTCAGGGTTGTTAGGGTTAAGGATGTTTGTGCTCAGCTACAGGTACCGCTCGCAGAGGAAAAGACGGAGGGCCCCTGTCAAGTTATTACTTATCTCGGTTTAGAAATCGATACAGTAAAGCGCGAAATACGGGTGCCTCACAACAAGGTACCGGTTCTTGTGCTCCGGGAGAACATTCAGTCAAGTTTGGGATGAAAAAAGTTGTCATTGAGGGAAATTCATTCTATGGTAGGTTCACTCAATTTTGTATGTCGTGCTATATCGCCCCGGGTCGAGCGTTTACCAGGCGTTTAATTGACTTGTCCCACGGTTTAAAGAAG